GAATGATGCACGCAACCACTCACGGCCAGACGTGGCATGCAGACCACACTCTTACACCCTGCTCAACCGTGCGAGTGACGTGCGTCAATGCCACTCCTTACCCACGTTTTCAGAAAAAAACATAGCAGACGTAGCCAGGTTGTGACCAAGGCTTAAAGTCACTAGGCTTTTCCAAGGTACAGCACTTGGGCCTGCCATGGATTTGTACACAGAACCTTCAGATTCTGAGTCAAACCTAACCACAAGACCACCTTGCCACTAAATGTACAAATGACATCTTGTTCTCATTACTCCGTGAAGGAGGTCAGGACCTACGGAAGGAGTGTTGTGAAGAGCTGATTTTTCGTGTTCGCAGTCAAAACATTGGGTTTTCTTTGTGTACTCGGCACGCAATTTTGTACGCCGTCTGCGGGCATGCCCGTGTTGATGCACGAATGTGTATTTTTGCCGTTGCTGCTTTCGCGGTCAATGTAATATTGCAGACGCACCCCTACAATTCCGAGGCGAATTGGAATGGTCCAGAAAAACGCGTTGTTTGGAATAGCAGTGGGGGGTGGAACTTCATGCAGATACGTTGAGGTTCCGATAAGTGGTTCCAGATGTTTTTGCCTGTGCTTAAGAGATGGCAAGTTTTTTGGAAGATGTTCGCAGCCAAAACGCATTCTTCCGTACGTCGCATTTCGGTGTAATTGGGCATGTGGTGTACCATTATGTCCGTGATGATGCACGTCTTTTTATTTTCACCGTAGCAATTTTGATATTGAAGTAAATGCATATTTTAGAAACATCCCTACTTTTACAATCCTGTGGAATAGGCCGTAGGTTTAGGCAGTTGTCTGGTAGCAGAGGTTCTCTAAGCAGATATTCCGGGTATCTGACCGGCGGTAGTAACACTCGCGGTGCTGGCCGCGACTGTTGCTGGAATTTGGCCTGTTCCAGTCGCGCTTAATAAGTAACAGGCACGGTAAGATGGTGGGGCTGTCTTCGTTAATAGTGACACGACAATGATAGTCCGATCTTTATGTGAATGCAATGATTGTGTGTGTGTAATCAAAATGAACTTCGAACTTGAAGCACAGTATCTTTACACGCCCTGGGAGCAGTAATGGATTTAGGTCTATTTATGTTTTATGCTTGTGACGCGCCCTCATTGTATTAACCGTTGCCTAATGTCTTCACACTAGGTCTGGCGTTGACGCTTGGGATTGTTTTTGTTGAAATATATAAAACTTCACGGAGGATTGTCACCTATGGCTTCTTGTTCTGACATTGTCAACATATTCAAAATGTCTCAGCCCATCAGAAAAGAGAACAATCCTGTTTATGATACAAACCATCCAGAGGAGCCGACAAGCCTAGGAAAAAGTGAACAAGATAAATCTACACTTTGATCTGTATGTAGCTGGAAATGAAGTCGAGCATACAATCAGAAATTTAAATGAGCATTATAATTATGTGGCTCCTAGTAGTCAAGGACAAGACCTGTTGGCGGCTACGTATGGAGCTGGCAATGAAGTAAAGAATGCAAGCACAAATGAGCATTATAATATGGCTACTAGTAGTCAAGGACAAGACAGGTTGGCGGCTACGTATGTAGCTGGCAATGAAGTAAAGAATGCAAGCACAAATGAGCATTATAATATGGCTACTAGTAGTCAAGGACAAGACAGGTTGGCGGCTACGTATGTAGCTGGCAATGAAGTCGAACAAACAACCACAAATGAGGATTATTATATAACAGATAATAACGATATCCCCATCCCAGAGGTCGCTGCTGTATCTGATCCGATCCATGCTGAAAGCTCAGGCCTCAGGGGAAAATGAAGAAGATGGTAACACTATTGGAAATATTGAAAAGAACAGCAAAACACTGAAAACATCATGTAAGCAGACAGTACAGTGAATGATGAGTGTGGCATGGAACCTTATGCTGTTACAAACATGTCCGATCACCAAACCTATCTCAACACAACAACAAACGTTCGCCAACAGGCTCCAAAGGCAGACAGCATAGTGACGTATGATGATGACATGGAACCTTACGCTGTTACAGACCATTAACTTTATTTCAGCAGAACAACAAACATTCGCCAACAGGCTTCAGATTACTCAAGTCATGATGGCATCAAAAATGTACACAAGCCTCGCAATCCTCCGAACGCAAACGAACTTCGTCAAAATCCGATGTACATACCAAACAACCAACAACATTGCGGTAAGTTTAATATACATTTTGAATGTTGTAACTGTTTTGACATAATAATTGTAATAATTTCCTGGTTGCATATTGGCTTATTAGGTATGTATGCCATGCATATGTTTTTTTTTCTTGTAAGAAATACTACTTATGAAACCTACTTTAAAGGGTTTTTGTTGCAGAGAATCGAAGATGTTTTCTCGTTGCTTTTGTGGTTGTCCTGCTTCTTGTGGGAGGAATCACCACGGGAGTCTATCACAACACCCCAGGCATCCAAAAGGTAAGGTCAACATCTTTGTCTGTCTCAATTTTACCCCTTAAGTTTAGGCCGCCCCAATTTCATTTGTTGGTTCTTGGATCTTTGAGAAAAAAATTAAAGAGACAGGGCACAGGCGTTGGCTGAAGACAGAGGAAAGTGGCGGGCCCTGACGGAGCTATACAAGAGGAGTGAGTGAGTGAGTGAGTGTGTGAGTGAGTGTGTGAGTGAGTGAGTGTGTGAGTGAGTGAGTGGGTGAGTGGGTGAGTGTATGTGTGTGTGTGTGTGTGTGTGAGTGAGTGAGTTCTGTATGTGTGTATGTGTGTGTGTGAGTGAGTGAGTGAGTGTGTGAGTGGGTGATTGGGTGAGTGAGTGAGTGAGTGAGTGAGTGAGTGAGTGAGTGAGTGAGTGTGTGAGTGAGTGAGTGAGTGGGTGAGTGTATGAGTAAGTGGGTGAGTGAGTGAGTTAGTGAGTGTATGAGTAAGTAAGTGTGTGCATGTGTGAGTGAGTGAGTGTGTAAGTGTATGAGTGTATGAGTGAGTGTGTGTGTGTGAGTGAGTGAGTGGGTGAGTGTATGAGTGAGTGGGTGAGTGTGTGAGTGTATGAGTGAGTGCGTGAGTGAGTGAGTGGGTGAGTGAGGGAGTGACAGGGCAAAAGAAAAGATAGAAACAAACCTATGCATCATCTGATTGCCCCAAAAGGTAGGATAGCCATGACATAAAAAAGGTAGAATGTCAGAAAATCATACTGAAAACCTTCCAGTTACTGACTCTATCTCTATAACTGACTTTAAAATTTCAAACAAGAGATGAAACAATGATTTTAGGATTTGTCTGGACACTTAAATGTCATGAATATGTATACTACAGTAACTGTATAATAGGTGAACAATAGGTTCAAACATTAATTTTACATTTCTTCTTGTTTTTTCCAGACTATGCAAGAAGTTAAGAACTTCAGTACACTGGATGAAACAGAACAGATACATGTACCTACTATCTGGACCACTGACGGTACCAACTCACCCAGCATTGGTGGTGTCAATGGTACCACCCCACCCAACCTTGGGACCACCCCACCCAACCTTGGAACCACTGATGGTACCACCCTACCCAGCCTTGGGACCATTGATGGTACCACCCTATCCCAGCCTTGGGACCACTGAGGGTACCACCCCATCCGACCTTGGGACCACTGTTGGTACCACCCCACCCAGCCTTGGGACAACTGAGGGTACCACCCTACCCAGCCTTGGGACCACTGAGGGTACCACTACACCCAGCCTTGGGACCACTGATGGTACCACCCCACCCAGCCTTGGGACCACTGAGGGTACCACTACACCCAGCCTTGGGACCACTGATGGTACCACCCCATCCGACCTTGGGACCACTGATGGTACCACCCCACCCAACCTTTGGACCACTGATGGTACCACCCCACCCAACCTTGGGACCACTGAGGGTACCACCCCACCCAGTCTTGGGACCACTGACCACTAGTGCAATCATGCATTAATAATTATGTTTACCGAAGGAAACATATTATATTTGCTCTATTTCCTTTTCTTCTCCAAACACCTTAAATTGGTCGATATTTTCGTAATTAGAGCCTGGAGGATAATGAAATTCAGCATGCTGGTAGGTTGGTACATAAGACACTAAACCGCGGTCATTTTAGCCAACATAGATGTCAAATAATGATTTTATTTGAAAAAAAGTGGAATTTTAAGCCAAAAATCGAACTTAAGAACCTATCTGGAATTTTAGAATCAACGTTCGAAATTGGAATAGGGTTCGAGACGGTCGCGGGTCAACGACCGCGCGGCCGCGCCAGGGGACTGCGTTCGATCCGCGGGCGCAGGTCAAATTATGGCCGCAGCGAGCGAGGTAAGCCTCGAGTTTCCAGCGCAGCAGTCATAACCATTTTGGACATGTAAATAAATATTGATTGTTATATTTCCCTGTAACACGTAACCAAGCTACCTAACGTCGACGCCATTGTTGGCAATCTCCTGGCTTTGGAATAACAGACGGCCGCGGCATACTAGTAGAAATATAACCCTTTTCATGCCCGACTTGACATTTAAAATTACACATGGCACTGGGTTGGTGGTAAACCCATAACTCCATACTGTACTGACGATGGCGTAACGGTTATCACGTAACGTTGTTGTTGTTGTCCGAACGACCGGAAGTACAGTAATCTTTCGCGCACGCATCAAAACGCTAACAAACACCAGACCTGCAAAGCACGTACGTCACACCAATGAGTTTACACGCCGACTATGCATGAATTGAGTGACTAATAAATGACTGTAAACCTGTGTTTTTTAAGATAATATTTTAGTGAAGAAGGAACAAAACAAGCATTATTAAATTCAGTCCTTAGCGTGTTTAGGAAGTCTTTGGTATAGTGACCGTCTCATTATTTCGATAGTGAGTTGGCTTTGCATTAGATATTTTTGTCTCAAAAAGCTTTTGTAGTTATTACAAAAATGACATCATAAATAAGCTAATATATTTACTTTGTTGATATGTTATTACCTGTGCTATTGTACCCCGACGAAAAGATGGTTACTTCCAAGAAACACCACGTGACCCGAGAGGCGGGAAAACTCAACACTTTTTTAGTGTTTACGGGAGGAGCACTATAATTACTCTTCCCAAGATCAAGCGAGATTTTGGTCGGCTAGATTTATTTGTTAACTCTAGAGTTAGTGTCCAGTTTTTGTGAAATAGACGCAGATCGCGCATATTTATTTTTAACCTAAAAGAAGAAGTCGATCATCGCAAAAATCTTCGAATCTCCTGTGAGTGACCTTGGACACAGCTAGTGCACAGGTAAGACACAACTTTTGTATTTTCGTCCTACGTCTTCGTTCCCAGCACCAAAGGACTATGATAGAGTCTTTGATGGAAAGGTTCGATTGTTGATAACACGTTCTATGTATTATGGCGAGTGTTGATTTATGTGACAAAAAATTTTATGTGACAGCCAATTTTGTACCTTCCTTCCCGCCAGAAATATTAATGACAGCATCTCTAAGTAAAAGTTTCGATTATCGATGAATTATGTAGTAGATATTACAGTTGTTATGTTGTGTGTATGTATTTTGTTGTAGGTCAAAAATTGCATTGTTACGAACGATCGAATCTTCGGTCAACTTCATTGACATGATGACACTGAAATGATAAATTTTAAGCCAGGGACTGTTCAATGTACAAATGTATGGTGGAGCAAGGACGTTCTGACGTCCTTGGGTGGAGGGAGTAGATTAACGGCGGTGTTTCCACAAAATATCCCTCGCCCCATTATGTGACTTTTATGTTGAAAGAAAGTTAGAACTGAAAAAAAGGTTAATAGTGGTATGTAAAAAAATTTTATTTCACTTCAAGTCTACATGGAAAATGTGGACTTTTTCTATAAGACAACTGCCAGGTGGCCCCGGCATTTGAGTTTGCTTTTGTAAAACATTCTGGTGCATGCTGAAATTATAGTAAAAATTATGAATCAGCTTTTCGAGCATATAGCTATAGGCGTGTACCCTACATGTAACTACTAGTAGATCAACCCATGTACTGTTTGTGACTTTTGTTCCAATTAGAAAAAATATTCTGTTATTCTGTATAATGTACCTGTCAGCACTTGTTAGATTTAAAATCGTCTACACTGTGTAAAAGAACTTTCAAAATGATCATTGTTGCCCATGATATTCCAACAACTCTATGGCGTCACTACACAATTCTTGTATGTATGGAAAAGACTAGTGTCAGGTGTGTACATTCAATTCAAACATTTTTTCATATAATTTGTAACATAATACTTTAAAGGTGACAAAATCAAACAAAATCAAGAGTTCACAAATATATTCCACCCACGATCACAATGGAAAGTTAAGTATACCGTAAGACTGTCGGACACTTTTTGCAGAATTTCTGAATCAGAACTGTATGTATGTGCTGACTTCTGGAGTCGTGGAGCTTCGGTAACCTGGGTGAACGTCTCCGTATTGTCGCTAACTACCATGGAATACCCAGGCCTAGAGCCAGGCTTGGGCCTCGGTGGACGTGATTCTTTTTTTTTTTTTTTTGGTAGTACAGGTCAAAATCAATGCACGCGCGGATGTCATCCATACAATTAAGTCAGTGTGGCCAAATGAATCAAGCAATATTATTGCACATTTGTGCCCTTACAAGCTTAATTATAAACACATTGAAATCATGCATGTAAAAAAAAATGAAGTGTTGTTGATTAGATACATTCCCACTGGCATGTACTAGTATCATACTGTATTATAAGTAGGGGTCACGTGATCACCCGTGACATAGTCCGACCATTGATTCGCCATGTCAGCAACACTGTTGTGATTAAACCTTCCTGATTCCTTTGCATCGTTGGCTCTTGGTCACTTCCATGTGTCTCTGGCCACTCAGTGGCATGGTGGCAGCTCAGTGGATCACATGTTTATCTGTGAATGTGGCAGTGAATGATTTATTTTCAGGTTGTGGATACATATAGTGTTTGTCTGTTAAATTTCAGAGTGAATCGCATACAATCCTGATTTACTTCAGAATCATATTTCCCGCCATCTGTAGGTGATTCAGAATGGGGGTGGACCTGTCCACATACAGGGCTAGGATTGGCTGCTTCAGGAACCCCGGGCATGACACCCAGCGCTGTGGGGCAGAGGTGTCATATTTGCTGGTGTGGCTGATCATGTCACAACTACTGTTGAAGCTAGCGGGTGATGTGGAGGAGAATCCTGGACCCAGGCAAAGGTAAGCATCAGAAACCAGCTTTATCATGTTTAAGAGTACTTTGTAACATGATGGCATATGATATGATACAAGATGAATCTTTATCACTATAAATTCTTTGGTAAGTTGCAATATGTTGAGTTCAGTACAATTCTGAAACCAGTCATTGTCTCTGACTCTGTTGACTTTTAGAGTGAAGATAAGAAGATAAGACCATTTCTGTCAGAAATAATACTGGATACTGAAATAAACCTTTTGTCAATCCCCTAGGTGATCTTCTTAGGCAGGTTTGATCTCTGTATACCGGTACTACAATTACATACTCATGTTAATCATCAACCAAATTAAACCTTTTAGTCATGATTTATACTTCGAAGGACATGATTTATGCTTTAAAGTGCTTTAAAATGGCAGAAGTCCCTCACAAAAGGGACTTTTACTAAAGTAGAGTTTTAGTTTTTATACACCAGTACATGTAAATATGAACTATGACTAGACTTCATGACTAGACTGAGGTAGACTTAAATGTGGGTAGAGGTACACCAGCTGACCTCTGTGGCTAACCTGTCGGTCAATTGTAAGAAAGTCCTGGAGTGGCTGAAGCTATTTTTCCCTTCAACACTTTTCAGAACAAGTTGGTTTCAAAGAAGCCATGTCTGCATGGATATTACAATTCAAGTTTCACACATGCGTATACAGGCCTATCATTAAGTAGTGTACATGTACCACTCCTTACACCATCTGATATTTCCCATTCTAGAAAGACACCAAAGGGAAAGAAAGCCCAGGAAAGCCAGAGGTCTTCAGAATCAGATGTACAGGAGACAGGAGCCATATGCAGGTGAAGGGTTTGTGTTTTGCCCTTTTGACACAGATGGACCAATGGATCTTATCATGTCAGTTGCATATTGCTGTTAAAAATTGGCATTCTCCTGACAAAGTAATGTACCCTTAGAGTGTCCTTTACATGTAGAGCGTATTGGGGGATTTGGGAATTGTTTTTTCAAAGCAATCTCTTATGCATTGTTTGGAATTGAGGAACACCATGGCACGCTAAGGTCTATGTTAGTTGCATACATGCAGACATTACCACATGTTTTTTGCCAGAATCACCTTCCTGCAGGAATGTCCATGACTGAATACTTGGCATCCAGTCAAATGCGTTTTGTAGGTGTATGGGCAACTGATGTGGAGATCTACGCCATGGCTTCAATGCTTAGAAAACCTATCTTTGTCTATACGTTTTATGGCACAGGCATTGGGTGGAAATGGAACAGATTTTCTCCAACAGGAACTATAGAAGACACTTACTTGTCAGATGATATGCATAACCATGGTATCTATATCCAACATACAGATGGAAATCATTTGACATTGTTACACATGTTATGAGCACAGAGCAGGTGAGGGATATGACAAGGTACCAACGGTGGCGCCACATGCAAACAATTACATCTGAAAAAGCAGAGCAATTCCTTGCAGCAGACCGCAGGAGAAAGGCCACAAGTGCTCTTGATGAAGAATACAAGAAATGTAAAAGGTTCCAAGAAAATGTAAGATATCATAGGGATGAGGTCAACAGAAAGAGAAAATGCAGCCAACAACAGACCAGGTACCAGACTGACGATAACCACAGGATGGAAAAACTTGAACAACAACAGGTCAGGTACCACACTGATGAGGACCACAAGAGGGAGAAACTTGAACAACAACAGGTCAGGTACCACACTGATGAGGACTACAAGAGGGAGAAACTTGAACAACAACAGGTCAGGTACCACACTGATGAGGACCACAAGAGGGAGAAACTTGAACAACAACAGGTCAGGTACCACACTGATGAGGACCACAAGAGGGAGAAACTTGAACACCAACAGACAAGGTACCAGAGTGATGAGAACTACAGGAGGGAGAAACTTGAACAAGACAGGGAGAAGTATCAAAATGATGCAGAACTAAGAGCAGAAAAAATAGCGCAGGTGCAGCGTAATATTAAAGAGAAACGTGATTCCACAATGGTGGAGCAAGCTGTTAGAAAATTTCAGAAAGAATGCAAAGAAGGACTAAAACATGTTTGTACTGTATGCCATAAGATTTTCTTCCGTTCTCAAGTTGTGGTGTGCAATCGATCTAAGTTCGATCCTTCAGTACAAGTCAGTCTGACAGGTAAGTATGTTCATAAATGTAACAGTGAGTGTAACACAGCCTTGTCGTATCCTTGAGTCCCATGGTAAGGAATGGATATGTTACACATGCAAAGGTTACTTGATGAAGAAGAAAGTACCAGCCCAAGCACAAACAAACAAGATGAGTCTTCCTGAAATACCTTCAGAGTTGAAATGTCTCAATACACTAGAGTCACAGTTAATAGCTCCAAGAATACCCTTTATGAAGGTAACAGCTCTGCCAAAAGGTAGCCAAAAAGGAGTTCACGGTCCTGTAGTTTGTGTTCCAGCTGATGTAGGTAAAACACATGCGGTTCTTCCGAGAATGCCATCAGAGGCACAGTTTGTTAAAGTGAAGCTTAAGAGAAAGCTAGAGTACAGTGGACATTACATGTACAGACAAATTAGTCCATTGAAGGTTGATGCAGCCCTCCAATATCTTGTAGAAAATAATCATCATTACAATGGTGTGTCCCTGGACACTGACTGGCTTTTGTCGTGGAATGAAGAAGAGGGACTTATCCAGCCATCTGCCACTGTAAGTGATCCGAATAATGATAATGTGCAACTTCAGACAGAAGACGAGCAACAAGAGTCGGACAGTACTGAAGGGAATGGCACGAACGGGGCAGCTGGAGACGGCATGGAAGACGAGGAGACGGACCACATCATTGGACAGATTGATATGGAAGCAGTAACGACAGAAGCAGCTCTGAACGAGGAGGATGAACTGGACAATCGTTTGAGGGGTCTTCCCCACGACACTTGTCTCCAACCGGTAGACATAGGGCAGGACTACCTTGATCACCACGAGGAACACATCCTTTGTGTGGCTCCAGGAGAGGGCAGTAAGCCGGTATCTGTCTTTAAGGAAGTTGGAGGAGAGGCGATGTCTTTCCCAGTTCAGTTTCCAACAGGACAGTATTCTTTCAATGATGACCGTGAGATACGTATAACTGCTAGTCAATACTTTAAGACACGTCTAATGGGTGCTGATGCACGGTTTGCCAGAGATACATCCTACATCTTCTATTCACAGTACGTGACGGAATTGCATTTTATACGATCAAACATGTCCATATCATTGCGAAAAAGTACACCAATCTTGAGTGACGGGCGTAGAATTGGGGCCCAAATGTTGTCCAACAGAGAGGACGTAAAGGCCATTCTAAAGTCAGACGAAGGCTATCGCTTCCTTCAGCCAGTCAGGGGTACTCCACAATACTGGGAGAAGGCGCTAAATGAGTTGTATGCAATGATAAGACAGCTGGGAATTCCAACCTGGTTTGTGACGTTTTCAGCCGCGGATCTGCGATGGCCAGAAGTGTTGGAGGCGATTCGGCAAGATCATAGTGCGGTACCAGTAAGCGACTTGTCGTGGGAGGAGCGTTGTGACATTTTGAAGAGTAATCCTGTCACTGCTGCTCGCATGTTCGATCACCGAGTCCAGCTGTTTTTCAAACACGTCATTAAGTCTCCATCACAACCGATTGGGGAGGTAGTTGATACATTTACCAGGACAGAGTTTCAGCAGCGTGGAAGTCCACACATCCATTGTTTGTTGTGGGTGATAGATGCGCCTAAATTGAATGTAAATTCTGACGAGGAGATCTGCTCTTTTGTGGATAGGTATGTTTCCAGTGAGCTACCCAACTCAGAGACAGATAAAGAATTGTTTGACATAGTCAGCCAGGTTCAAATGCATCGAAAAGGTCATACAGCATCGTGCAAAAAAGGTGGCAAGGCTTGTAGGTTCGGGTTTCCTAAACCTCCCGTAAAGCAGACATTCCTGTGTGGCCCGGTGGCTTTGCAGGATCTTACCGAAGAAGAATTGGCATCCCTTCCAGCTAGAAAGGGGCAAGCGGAAGCAGTCCTAAAAAAATTCTGGGATGTGTTGGACAAGAAGAGTGAGCCGGAGAAGTGCTGCACTGACGATCTTCTCAAGGAGGCAAAGCTGACGACTGCACAGTTCTGTGAGGCTTTCAACTTGATGGCCACCAGGAAGCAAGTAGTGCTCAGGCGTGAGCCAAAGGACATGTGGGTGAACAATTACAATCCGCACCTGCTCCGCGCTTGGAATGCGAACATGGACATTCAGTATGTACTGGATGCATATAGCTGTGTCAGGTACATTGTGTCGTACATCAGCAAAGCAGAGAGAGAAATGGGAAAGCTACTCAAACAGGCCCAGAAAGAGGCAAGGGAAGGGAATGAGGATGTAGTGAATGAAATGAGAAAGGTTGGCAGCAAGTACATTTACCATAGGGAAGTGAGTGCCCAGGAGGCAGTGTATCGAGTTTGTAGCCTAAGACTAAAAGATTGTTCGAGAGAGGTCATATTTATTCCAACAGATGAGAAGGCTAGTCGCCTGTCTAAACCCTTGGCAGAGATCCAAAACCTTGCTAATGCAGAAAACGGTGACGATGAAAGCATCTGGATGCCAAGCATTATGGACCGCTATAAGGCAAGACCACGAGAAGAACCCTTCCGGTCAATGTGTGCTGCAGAGTTTGCCTCTGAGTATCGTGTGGTTTCCACTTCAGGCAAGCAAGCTGATGGTGAGCAGCCATCTAGAGGCACCACAAAGCATGTCCTAAATGATCATTTGGGGTCTGTACAGAAGCGCACCAGATCAAAGCCTGCTATCATCCGCTTTGCTAAATTCAATAAGAAAAAAGAACCAGAGAAATTCTACTTAACTCTGCTCAAGTTATACTTGCCACACTATTCTGACATGCAGGTGAAACCGGAATCGTTTGAAAAGTATGAAGACTTCTACTTAAATGGCTCTGTTTCATTGTCTGAGAGATCAGGTGTTTTGAATGTCAGGGATATTGTCGATAATAACAGACGTAAGTTCGAGACAAATCGCGAAGAAATTGAGGAGGCACGTAAAGAAGTAGAAAATAACAGTGGTGGTCTAGATGATGCTTGGGCCCAGATCTTTCCTGTACAAGAACAAGAGAGATCTGAGTGTCAAGACATGCAAGAAAAAGTCCAACATTTTGATGACGGGGGTTGTGAGGATGATGACATTCCCGATCTTGCAAAAGTCAACAAGTCGAAAGAACAAAACTTCACCCTAGAAAGGTGCCAGTTGCAAATTACTTTAAACACTGCACTCCCCTTAATGCAGTCGCTCAACCGCATCCAACAAAATGTTTTCTATTTTGTTCGAAAGTGGTGTATGGAGATGGCACGGGGAAAGCGCCCAGAGCCGTTTCGTGTTTTTGTCACAGGTGGTGCGGGAACGGGAAAGAGCCATGTTATCAAGTGCATATATTATGAAGCTACGAGAATACTTCAGCAGACACAAGAGAACCCTGACAAAGTTTCTGTTCTCCTGACAGCACCCACAGGGACTGCTGCATTTAACATTGGTGGAAGCACTCTCCACCATGCGTTTCACTTGTCAATGAAATATGAGAACCTCAAAGAAAAGACTGTGAATACATTACGCGCACAATACAAAAGCCTAAAAATCGTGATCATAGATGAGATTTCGATGGTTGACAAAAAGCTACTGCAGCAGATTCACGAAAGATTGTGCCAACTCACACAGGGACATCCAGATGCATTTTTCGGAAATGTGAGCATCTTGGCAGTTGGGGACATGTACCAAATTCCTCCAGTCAGAGGTAAAAGCCTCCACAAGGAAAGAAAAACTGAGATCTTTGACCTCTGGAATCCCATTTTTGAAGTGGTCGAGCTTAAGGAAATCATGCGGCAGAAAGATGATGCTGCATTCGCAGAGCTTTTGAACAGGCTTAGGGTGAAGAGAAAGAAACAGAAACTAGCAGATAAAGATGACAAAACTCTGTCTTCAAGGGTCCTTTCTCTAGACTTTGCATCAGATGAGTATCCTAAAGATGCGCTGCACATTTTTACCAGAAACGATTTTGTTGCGCAGCATAATGACAGGATGTTGAACCTCCGGTGTTCGCATATTAGACGATACGAGGCCTCTGACTTTGTCAAAGATCCGTGCACGGGTTCGATGAAAAGGCGACATCTAGCAGCAGGGGAAAGTGACGACCTGCCAGATGTGGTCCGAGTCGGGGTCGGCGCTAGGGTCATGCTTTGTAGAAATTTCAATGTGGAGGATGGGCTAGTGAACGGTGCATTTGGAACAGTGACGGGTGTGAAAGGTGGAGATGATCATGCTAGTGAAGATGCAACTGTTTATGTGCTGTTTGATAATCCAAGGGCAGGTGCTGTGGAAAAGCAAAAGAGCTCTGTTCCCAATGACATACCTGTCAACTCAGTCCCAGTACATCAGTTTGAGGGCGCCTTGAAACATTTAAGCAAAGTCCATCGCTACCAAATCCCTTTGAAGCTGGCCTGGGCATGTACCACACATAAAGTGCAGGGCATGACAACTGATGAAGCAGTAATCTCGATGAAAAATGTTTTCGCATCAGGTATGGCGTATGTGGCCTTAAGCAGGGTTCGTTCAGTTGGTGGACTCCACATTACAGACTATAAGCAGGAGTCTATCTACTGTGATGAACAAGTAGAGGAGGCAGTCAATGATATGAAGCAATTACAGTTTAGATCTGATCCGTTCCAAAGTGTTGATGACAGGTCTGAGAGCGAAAAGGTCCTGAGTGTAGTCCATCACAATACTGAAGGACTTGTAAGTCACTTTAAAAGTCTGAAATCAACCTGTCTGCCCAAAGCTGATGTCATATGCCTGACGGAGACATGGCTATCTGGAGACGTGCCGTCTTCTCAGGTGAAACTAGAAAACTTTACTGTGTTCCGCAAAGACAGGACACCTGTTTGTGAGGAAGGCTCTACCATGTACCACAGCAAGTTCCTCTCATGGAGGAGTGGCAGTATATGTACGTGATGGATACAGATGTACTGAAATACCTACTCCTAATGACATTACACTAGAATGTGTGGTTATGAAAGTGTCTGCTGAGGGAATGGAAATACTTGTGGTATGTATTTACAGGCCACCCAATGTAAAAAAAGATGTATTCATATTCAATTTGGAGAAATTGATGCCGCACTTGGCCACGGTGAAACGAAATACCACAATCTTTCTTGGGGATTTTAACGAGAACTTGATATCTGGTGAAGACAACAAAAAGACGTTCTTTGTGACGAACGATTTCGAACAGTTGGTGGAGGATCCTACGACCATGAAAGGAACCCTAATTGACCACGTTTACATTTCACCATTGCCATCAAATGTGAGCTGTGGGGTCATACAGACATTTTACAGTTACCATGATGCCGTGTATTGCACACTGTATCAATAACTGAATAAGCTGTGATGTTGAAAAGGTGATGATGGAATGATCTAGCTTTTTAAGTGCTAAACAAGTAGGATATGCTATAGGGGCAGTGAAGTTGCACCCGCTCCGCCCTTGCCAACCACTAACCTGAGGTAAGTCAGGTTGGTAAAGAGATTCCTGATGTTACAGAAGAAAGAAATTAAAGAGCTCCCCCCCCCCGTGATTGGGGAGGAGGAAGGTAAACCACAGAGCTCCCCCCGTGATTGGGGAGGAGGGAGGTCAGAGCTCCCCCCGTGATTGGGGAGGAGGGAGGTCAGAGCTCCCCCCGTGATTGGGGAGGAGGGAGGTCAGAGCTCCCCCCGTGATTGGGGAGGAGAGAGGTAAACCACAGAGCTCCCCCCGTGATTGGGGAGGAGGAAGGTGGATGGGGGAGAGACCCCGGTAGCCTGGGTGCCATCCTCCATACTTTTTGCTTACTCCCTAATGTCGCTGGTGCATTAAGGAGCAGGCAAAAACTACGGAGGATGGCACCCAGGCTAAGACCCCGGTGAATGGGGTAGAGACCCCGGTGAATGGGGTAGAGACCCCGGTGAATGGGGTAGAGACCCCGGTGAATGGGGTAGATCTCAGAAATGAATGAAAAAGAAATATATTTTGAAATTAAGAAATGAAAAAAAAATCAACAACAAAAATGATTTCTCTTTCAATTTCAGTCCATACCATATTTTCTATTTAATCCATTTTTCTTTCTTTCAGGAAACCAGTCATTTGAAGAACATCACATTGGATTTGGCAAATATCCCAGACGTTTCTCTCCTATTTTTTTAAATTTATTTACCTTTTCTTTTTGTTATGCCATGGTAATGTTATATTTTCCTTGGTAATGTCATATTTTAACTTGCAATTTCCATGTAATCCCATGTTTAGAGGTGTTCATTACTGCATTGTTGTCTGTAAATAATTTTTTGTTTCCTTTTCTTTGAAGGGTCCAGCAGTTAGAAGATCCTGCAC